CTTCCTTGTCTTGATGTCAGTGGCCTCTATCTCCTCCTTTGGCCAGCTTATTATGCCAGCGGGGTACCTGATGACCGGCAGGGCGTAGGTGTTGATTGCCCGGACTTTGTTCTTCCCATTCAGCTGGCTTCTCAGGACTTGCCTTACTCTCTGCAGGTACTTGGTGATTGCTGCTTTCCTTGCAGCCTCTTCATGGTTCCCATTTGCCTGCGGGATTCCAAGGTACTTGTAGCTGTCCTCAACATCTGCTATGTTGCCTTCTGGTAGTACAATCCCCTCAGTTCTGACTACCTTCCCTCTCCTCGTTACCATTCGGCCACACTTATCCAGTCCAAATGGCATTCCGATGTCCTGGCTGTAGATCCTAGTGGTGTGGATCAGTGAGTCAATGTCTCGTGCACTCCTGGCATACAACTTGATGGTGGCTGATGGTTGTTCCGTAGTCGGTATCCGTAACCACTCTTGGTTATGATCTGGCTGAGGGGGTTCAGCCCTATGCAGAACAGCAGCGGGGACAGAGCATCTCCTTGGTAGATACCACACTTGATGTTGACTTGTGCAATTTGGGGGCTGTGACCCCCAAACTGGGAGAGTGGCTCCAACAGATCCCAGGAACAACATCTGAGATCTCTGTCCAGAAGAGTGCAGTGCTAGGAACAGCTAAGATACTGCGCGGGACCCTCAGGATCTATGTGTGAGGCCTTGAGTCATAGGCTTTCTTGGTGTCAATCCAGGTAGTGCACAGGTTGGTATGCCTGGTCTTGCACTCTTGAGTGACTACTTTATTAACCAGTAGCTGGTGCTTTGCTCCTCTGGTGTTACTACCAATTCCTTTCTGGGCGCTGCTCATGTATTGAGCCATGTGCCTGCTCATCTTAGCTGCTATGATGCCTGACAGGAGCTTCCATGTTGTGCAGAGGCAGGGTATTGGGCGGTAGTTGGATGGTACTGCTCCCTTCTGAGGGTCCTTCAGGATCAGGACAGTCCGGCCTTCAGTTAACCACACAGGGTGAGTTCCATCTATTAGTAGCTGGTTCATTTGTCCCGCTAGGCGTTCATGGAGTGAAGTTAGCTTCTGTAACCAGTTAGCGTGGATCATGTCAGGGCCTGGTGCTGTCCAGCTCTTCATACTTGAAACCCGCTCTTGAATGTCTGCCATTGTGATGATTACTGGGTCTTGTGCAGGAAGGTTGCTGTGGTCTGCTCTTAGGCCCCCCAGCCACTGGGCATTGTTGTTATGTGATGCCTC